AAGCAAGTTTAGTGATCTTTAAGAGTAGAGTCATACAACTGGTCTCCTTTGTAGATGCTACCAATTGTTTTGAAAGCCAGTATACTTAAAGAAAAATAGACAAATTTTACAGTGCTTCCTTTGGCCCAGTTTTCCACCAAGCCCCCTGAAAATCCAGAAGGGGAGAGATCCTATGGAAAGAACCACCACAGTCTGCAAGCATTTCTGTTCCAGAATGCTGCAGTTTGGGATTGTAGTTTTTTTCTACAAGTTCTTGTACTGTCGTGGAATTAAGGAAAGGCTCTACAGTATGCTGCGGTATCTGGAGTAGATGCAAAACTAAACATCCACTATATAAGAACTCACTGGACTGGAAGCAATGTCTTTTCCAAAAGCTCCACTCAGAGAAGTGATCTTACAAGGTCTATCGACCCCTGCGAACTGCAGAAAGCTAAGCAATTAAGATAAATAAATCCTCACCAAAACCATGCAGATTTTGAGGTACTCCATCTTGTGTTGGGTTTATGTGGCAGGTTGGGGCGGGGGGGGGTGCTGCAGGGGTGGCTTCTGTGAGAAGATACCAGAAGCTGCCCCCATGTCAGACAAAGCCAGTTTTAGCTGGCTCCAAGACGGACCAGCTGCTAGCCAAGGCTGAGGCCATCAGCAGCACTGGTGGTACCTCTGTGATAACATTTAAGAAAGTATAAAAACCACAGCACAGTAGCTGTGAGAGAGGAAGGAGAAAATGTGAGAGAAGCAACTGTGCAGATACCAAGTCAGTGAAGAAAGAGGGGGAGGAGGTACTCCAGGTGCTGGAGCAGATATTCCCCCATAGTGATGCAGGTTGTCCCCCTGCAGCCCATGGGGACCACGGTGGAGCAGAGATCCACATTGAAGCCTGTGGAGGATCCCACGCTGGAGCAGGTAGATGTGCCCTGAAGGAAGTCACAGCCTGCATAAAGCCCATGCAGGAACAGATTCCTGTTAGGAGCTGCAGCCTGTAGAGAGGAGCCTGCACATGAATAAATTTTCTGGCAGGACCTGTGGCCTGTGGAGAGGAGCCATGCTGGAGCAGTATGTTCCTGAAGAACTGTACCCCATGGAAAGGGGCCATGCTGGAGCAGTTCTTGAAGGACTGCAGCCCACGGGAAAGGCCCGCATTGGAGAAGGTCATCAAGGACTTTATGCCATGGAAGGGATCATACACTGGAGCAGGGGAAAAGTGTGAGGAAGAAGGAGTGGCAGAGACAACATGTTATGAACTGACTGCAACTTCCATTCCCCATCACCCTGCATCACTCGGGGGGGATACAGAAGAGTCAGGAGTGAAGTTGAGCCTGGGAAGAAGGGAGATGTAAGGGGGAAGGTGGTTTTAGTTTTATTTCTAACTATCCTTCTCTGTTACAATTAATCGGCAATAAATTAATTTCCTCAAATTGAGTCTGTTTTGCCTGTGACAGTAATAGGTAAGTGATCTCCCTGTCCTCATCTTGACCCATGAGAACTTTTCATCATATTTTCTCCCCCCATCCTATTGATGGAGGGGGAGTGATAGAGCAGTTTGGTGGGCACCTGGCAGCCAGCCAAGGTCAACCCACCACACATCTGCTGCAGTTGCTCATTTCATAAATCTTCCAGCCCATAAAAAGACTTAGCCAGAAGAGTTCAGCACAGCTATTAGAAAAGTAGTCACTAAAATAGAATTTAAATCTTTTGTAAAGATGGAGCTGTATTGACTGGATGTTGATAGGACAGTATCTAGCGTGAGAGAGTCACCTGAAAAGGGACACCATAAAAAAAAAAGTGAAATCTGTAAAGGAAGTACTCCTATGCAAAGGCAACAGTAAATGGGTAGATATGTGAAATAAGAAGGTACTTGAATGAACTCCTGGGAAAGAGGGAGTCTGCTATCAAACCCCCCCCCCCCAACACCCTGGGCCATACATTTTTACAGAAATTCTCATTTATCATCCCCACACACCATTCACAGAATGACAAATTGGTGTAAGTAGACTAACTTCCTCCATATGTGAAAAGCATTTCCATGGAAAATTTTTATGATGCAATTATTGCCATTTTCATTTATTTTTATGTGCTTTATCAGTGAGAAACAAAATCAGCTACTGTAGCTTAGCTACTCAGATCCTGGTATGACCCCGATTCCGATTTGATTGCTTGTCTTTGTCAGATCACTCTACAAAAATTTTAAAGTTTACAGAGACAATGGGAAATCTCAGCCAAATAAAATAAAAATAGAGGGCTGGAAGCTATGCTGGCTCCAGCTTTCTCTGTTGTTCCAGCCACCCAGATCAGCCGGGACACTAAAAATATGTCTTGAATCAGTAGTGCTGTGCATGTGAACCGTTCACTCAAGGAAACACATTGCCTGTGAAAGTTACAGTGTAGTGGGCATCTATTACCTAGTTTTAAGGATGACACAACCATTTATGCTCTCCATTAATGAAGAGCTCAAGAAATCTTGAAAAACTTGCTTAAAATACTGTGTATCTCCCCAGCCTAGGCTTGAGAAGACAGACATATGGATAACTATGCTACAGAAATCAGGCCCTCCATGACCACCCACAGAGCTGAGGCATCTTGCGCACCAGACCTCTCATCTAAAACTCCTTGAGCAGAGGTGGACCTCAAATTCTTAAGATGAAAAATATCACACAAACAGCAAAATAAGCATTTCCACATATTTAGTAAACTTAGATTTACTCAGCTATTCCAGAAAGTCTTGGAAAGACTGATAAGGAAAAAAGAAGAAAAGCAGAACATTATACAAAATCTCCCATGTTTACCAGGACCTCCATCACCACCACAATGCAGAATTACCTCTCTTGCCAACAGAGCAGTCATTGTCTACACAAACTGGAACAACAACAACAGAATAAATCAGGAGAAACCTAGCAGAAGAGTCAACAGTTTGGTAGTGTCTGTCATGCGAGAGCAACACTCAGGTATCCAACCCAACCAAGGCATCTCATATTATGTAATGACAGCCACCCTCCCTGGCAGGGAATCCTATCCTTGAGATCAGAAACCCAATGTAAAAGTTAAAAAATTCCTTCAAGAAGTTAAAGTTTTGGCAAATCAAATAAAAAAAAAAGAAAAAAAGAAAAAATATATATATATTGGCTAGCACAATCAGCTGTAAAGATCCTCCACTGCTTACAGCTTCATGCTTCTTTCTTAAGTAATTAACATGATTACTGATTTGATCAAATAGCTTCCGGGCTCCAACACACCAAGCTTTGTATATATGTGGGAAATAAAAACATTTTTCATTTTCCCAAAATAAAAACAGAAGCAATGATCTGTTTTTTTCACTTCAGGGGATTTGCCAGGACTCCAAGAAGCAGCCCCAGGAACTTGGAAGCTCGCTCAGAGATGCCCCAGACTGCAGGTGCCTCAGGTTACAGAGCACTCGTAACTGCCTCAGACAGGAAACCAAACAGGTTTCAGTGGCCCTTGAGCATAGTTCTGTCAGGTTTTATCAAAATAAAAAGTTCTTCTTGAGTAGCTTTCTGGTTTTGATGATTTGGTAAGATAAGAGTTTTGTCTGGAAAAAAGTCCAATTATATTGATGGATAATATTTGGAATTTATACTACAGGACCATACTTGTCTGGGGTGGGGTAGGGGAGAAAATAAAAGAATGCCATGGTCTTCCAGCTTTCTTCACCCTTTCCATAGTCCCTTTAATATCATATCATGGGGTTCCCATTTCAACCCCCTTTCTTCCCTTCCCATGTTTCCTACACTGTCTCATGACAGACCTCTGTGTCCAAGAACCTGTGTTTTTCCATTTAACCCATCTTCTTACACATGCAAACCTGTGGGCCCCTTGTTCTACTCTTTACAGCACTTTTCCCAAGGTCTTCTTATGTAAAGACCCTCTCAGAGGCCACCAACATAACACTCCACTGCATCTTCTCTGTGCGCTCCTTTCCTTCACCCCACAGTAGATGCTAAACAGATTCCTATTTCTTTCTTCTCCCCTTCTGGCAGGGCTCCCCTCTCTTCCATCGTACTTGGGGTTCTTGAACACTCCCCTTCCAACTGTCCCTCCCACTTACTCCCCAAGTTTAATATCAAACAGTAGACACTACTTATGAAAAAAAACTGTCAACCCACTGAAGCAAAGCTGTGTGTCAGAACAGCTGCTGTAGTTTGACCTGAGAGCAGTTTCCAGGAACATGCTGGGAGAGAAAAAACTGCCTGCCAAACAAGCCTGATAAGAGAGCAGAAGGCACCACACATCCTCCCAGCCCGAGCCTGCAAGTCAGGCTATGCAACACTCTGCATGAAGCACCAGGGAAAGGGAGAGACAACCTGACAGCAAAATAATCATAATCAAGGAAGTGGCAATATTCTTTTTACAGATTCAGCCAATATATTATTCTCTCCCTCTTCCCCTCTTACAAGCAGACAAGAGTTTTTGAGTCATTCTTCCTAGTGGTTTCCTGTTCAGCTACTAAGTCCAGAGGCTCAGAAGCCTAACAGAAAGGGGAAGAAGTGCTGGTGTCTCATATAGCTCTCCACCATGAGATCTGCTCATCTGTTTTGGCTTCTTTTTTTTGATTCTTCTTACTGCATTGACTCAGCAGAGCTCTGGGCTTCTTTCTTTTTAAGTGCTCCCACCACCAAACCACAGCCTTTTGAAGATACAGCAATTGCCAGTTTCACTACACTCAGAACAGCACTTCCGACTGAGCCAAAAAAATAAGTGTAGGTGTTGCTTGCTTGTAGGCAAATTGCTTACAACTCACTCAGCTTTTTTGGATCAATGGAAAGAAGGAGCGGCAAATTTGCTTTCTGTGTTAGAGTGAGTGAGCAATGAAATGGGTACATTGCCCTAGCTTTAACAAGGAAGACAAAAAAAAAAAAAAAAACCCACACCAACCCACTAACAATCATTCAATGCATGACAAGCTTGATGTGTCATCTGCCCCTGGCTATGGCAACAGTCTCCTAGAAAGAATAAAAAAGAGACAAAATAGAAAGAGATATACTCACGCATGTCACCAATTGCTCCTTTTGTGACATTTGTGGCTTTCCTTACTGTCACAGTGAATACGTGTGAATACTGGTGTTCCACCTGGAAATCAGAGAGTTAAAGGTGATTAAGCTCCAGAACCAAAAAGCAACTATCAAAATAGGTTTCATTTTGTCCAAAAACTGAGAGAGAGAAATCACCCAGTCAAAATGTAAGTGAAACTCATACTGGATAGAGCATCTTAATGCTGAACTGCACCCTGTAGCTTTACTGAAAGGTCAGACCTTATACTAGGGTTGCTTGATTTTCCAGCAGCCACACCTACTAATCTCAATGAATAACACTCCTCCTCTCTACCAAACCTGCTGTAAGGCATTTAGTCAGTCAGGGACAACTTGGTATGGTAAGAAAAAAAATAAAGAGGGGGCTATTTTACAGTGTGCTTGCCTTTGTAATTACCTTCCCTCAGTAAAAAGAATGGGTGCAATTACTTCAAAGTATATGTTCTGGAACAGATATAAGCATGCTGCACACACAAGGGATATAGTTAGTAATGCATGGAATATATTTTCTTAGTACACATCAATATTCAAAGTGCAAGTGTCCTTAAGACAATGGAGGGAAGGTGAAAAGCAAGCTGTTAAAACATTCAAAAGCAAATTTCATGCAGTTTCTGGAGCTTCCTGTTTCCTGCAAAGCCCAAGCACACAGCAGGAGTTGCCTTTCTAAGAGCAGGTCTGTCCCAAATGAACTAGGGAAGTAGGAAAAGATTAAATTAAGAACAAAAGTAAAAACTTTAATGAAAAGAGGTCAGTAACTCACATCTATTGTTACTTTGTCTATATAGCTGTAAGTTTGACCAACCTACTGAATACCATTATGAGAACCACCACTGCATATTGCAAGGCAGACAACATTGGCCTTCACCAGGACACAGTACAGAGGTTGCGGGTAAGTTTTAAGTTCTACGTGTTAGAGCCAGGATCAGATCTCACACAATTGCCTCTCAGCACTTAGATCTATCTACACTGCTATCTTAAAGCCAGTCTTAAGGCACTCAAGCTGTCTAACTGCCCACAGTACCTAGACATTGACTCATGTGCTTGTACAACGTGGAGGCACCAGCTTGCTCTCCTGCAACAGAAATTCAGGCACCAGAAGGTGCTTTCATACTATATTTTCATCTGGAAACTTCCCTTTTTTTTTTTTTTTCCTTAAAAAAAAAACACAAAAAACAAACAACTTTTTAAAGGAACAAAGAGATAAGCCAACAAAACCCTTCAACCCATACATGGCTTAGTTTTCAACAGTAGCACATGCCTCCATTTAAGCTACTGCTATTTCAACTGCCAGACTTTATAAGGGCCTTCAGCTGGTTCTCATAGCTACTTCAGAACTGGTTGTTTCAGCCAAGCCTCATTTATTTCACATCTACAAACACACTTACACCCAAAGACTAGAACCAAACTGGATCCTTCTAATACAAATAAACAAAAAAATGAGTTTCTTATACATTATATATCATTTTCTCAAAAAAAGAAAAAAGCCAAAAACAATCTTCTAAAATCAGCAAAAGTGGCTTGTGAATGCTTAAGTAACAGTTGAGTCAGGACACATTAAAAACAACGCAAATGATACCAACACAAACTCCTCCACAAGTCTGTAGTCTAGAGGTCTGCAAAGGCATAGCCACATCACCATGCCAAAATATCTAGGAGAAAATGCCCACAGTGATACTGAGGGTATGACTTCACTGAAGACACTGGCTGACCCAGACACTGAATTGTTGTATCTTTATTAAGGCTGTAATCACCCACATATTGTGACGACTGCTGGAGGCTCATTTCATGATAGTCTGCCCAGCAGTAAATTTCAACTCTGTAATTTTTCCCCTGTAAGCTGTAGGAGTTGTCTGGTTCAAAGAACAAGTAAGCAGGCAGGGGGGAAACTGTGGCAATGTAAACTATTACCTTACAAGTGGTATACTGAAATTGTCATTGTGCAGCAAGTGGTTCACTAACTGCAGTAAAAATGGAATCCAGACTCTAACTGATTCTCCCAACCAGGACTGTTAACTCACCTCAAAAGTATCAAAGCCAACAGAAGGGGTTTAGATGTGGGAATCCAAAGTTGTGAAGAAGCAACACCTATTTAACAGCCTGCCTTGTGCTGACATGGAAGACATACCAATGATTTCGTGACATCCATCACTATTTGTATCGCAGCTTCTAAGAGTGGATGGATGAATGAGAAAGAAGATGGGACTTCTCCCTGAACAAAATTCTGCCTCTGCCACATGGGAAAAAAAAAAAAAAAAAAAAAAACCAGAGTTTTCCATCACAGCTACGTAAAGTTACCCCAGTTCTGTCATTTACCCTGCTTCAAGAATTTTTACAAGCTGCGAATCTCCAGGAAACAACGACTCTCACTGTCCCTTGTTTTCAGTTTGCTTCTTGAAAGCGCTCAAAGCTGTTTTATTGGTGTGTGCCACTTTCACACACGTCAGATCACTGAAGTGTTGGTTTCACAATGCAGCACTGGCCTCAGAGTTTGTTCACACAGACTGATGTAGTTCCTTTGTCATATACAACTTCATAATTAAGAGAAACAGCCCAAAGTACAAACACACCACCTTTCTCCTTATTCTTAGCTGTTAAGAGCGAGCCTGTCCCCACTAGAGACCACAGATCAGAGATCACTGAACATTTAGCAACAGAGAGGAGGATGGAGTTATAATTAAGTTACAAGCATGGGACACGGGCATGCTGGATTTAGTTCTCAGCTCCTATGTGGAAATTATGTGCAATTCTGGTGGCCCAGAGTCCTGGCTGTAAAATGGGGATACTACAAGACACTCACTGACAAAAAGCACTTCTGTGAAGTAATATTCTTGCATCTTTTAGTCCTGTTCATGAAACTCATATGCCTAAATAAAATGCCCACCACCAAAACAAGGCCAAACCATCACTTACTAGTGTATTCTCATTACAGCAGTACAGAGATCATCACTACTTTCTGTTACAAGTCGGTAACTGTTTTGCTAATACTATCATGAGAACTGCTTTTTATTGGTTTAAGCAGCAAACCCCCTCACATTCCAGCTGTTGTTCTGCCAAGAAAGTTAAGTCTGGTTTAAGATCTGGTATCCTCTGAAATGAATGCAAGTATACAGAGGTCTGGCAGAACAGAAAAACATTATCTTCTTCCCCTGTGCCTCACCCAAAATAACACAGAGGCTTATAATGATAAAGTTATTAATATTTGGCCATAATCACACGCTTGGAAGAAATTTGCAACTAATAAAATAAAATGTCTCCCTCTTAGGAAAAAAATACACAGAGATACACAGGAAGCTCAAAAGTCTCTCTTCTTACCCCAAAATAAATGTTTTTCATGCAACTTAAGTGCAATTAGAAATTAAGGCAATTTTCCACTTAAGATCCAGTTTCTAAGGGTATTAAAAGGCCTAAATGTCCATATTAACAGCTAACACAACTTTCAGAAGCATTTCTTGGTTAGCTTTTGGAAAGACTCAGTTCTAAAGAAGTTAGATGCCCCTTGAAAATACCACAAGAAATGTATTGACTCTGATTACCTTTTTAAATCCAGCCCTTGCTAGTTTAGATGACTAAGCTGCGTTTTCTAAAGTAACTTATGTTCACCTTAAGCCTTGATAAAAATCTGTACATTGCCAACTCCTCAATTACTTCTGAAAAATAGACGATGGTATATAAATCACTTAAACATTGCAACACTGAGTGGAGCAACATCTGCATACCTTTAAAAAAAAAAAAAAAATCTAAGCCAGGTTAAAAATTTCAGAAGCTCACAATTAAATCAAAAACCTAAATGCTATCATCCAAAGTGGCCTAGCTTTACATATGTGTTTCATTTAACTTCCTCTTTCTCCACAAATTTATAGAAGAAAGGAGAGGAAAAAAAAAAAAAAATAGTTTTCAATATGCACTCTCTGAACGTGGGTTTTTCTGAATTACAGAAACTCCTGTGGACAGTATTCACTCTCTACTGGTTCAATACACAAGGTTTTCCAAGTATCCTGCACAGCCATGGTTCAGTATCTCCCGTTCTCACACCACAGCTCTCCATCTCTTCTAAATCCTCCTCCTGCCTCCTTTGTTCTTCTTCCACCTTTGACTGCTTTTTATTCCTTCCAGTAAAATTTCTCTAATTATCTGATTTCCTCTATTTTACATATCACACATGCATTTGTATGTACATAAACATCATTACCATCCCATTATGGGACTGGGAAACAGAACAAGGTGCTAATATCTCGTGTAACACAATTGGGTTTTACCTACAAACTTTCCACACTTATGGAGAAAGCAAGGGATTTGCATGCATTGAATACAATACTTTTCATATTGCAGAATGCCAAGTCACAAAATGTAACTCAATCAGGAGATATACTTGCACACAAAATACCAGTCAGGAAGCTCTGGTATAGATAGATTGTGTAATAAGTATTTATTACTTTTACATCCTTAACGTTAAGGACACTTGAGATGAAGATTAGGCTAGACAAATGAAAATGTTTGCCTGTTTTCTTAAGTAACAGATTTTCATTAAGTCCATGCTCTTCTTTCACTGGGTTTTACAGTTAAGACAAACATTTGTGCATACACACACAAATTATCTTGAAGTGATTTCTCCCATTGTTATAATATTTATCCCCCATATCAATATAACTGAAGATGCATAATACATTTTAATTCTTCATTCTCTGAAACTAAAAGCATTTTTGGTACAGTCCATTCTGTCTGTACCTGCAATAACTTTGTGAATGTCTTATTTCACTCCTCCAAGTCTTCCATAAAATGAGGAAAAAAAAAAAAAAAAAAAAAGAGATCAGAAAACACATAGTAGTTAACAGAACGACTTTTGGAAAATGCAGAATTCTTTTGAGTCTTTTAATGCCAAACATCATTAAAAATCCAAGATTTTTGCAATGATATGAGCCTGCTGCCCTTGACTGTTCTAAGTTTTAGTAAAGCTTTCCATGCAATTTCAATTTTTGAATTAAGAAGCCTCAGAGATTTCTGTTCACTTTTCAAGCAATTATAGGATCAGCTCTTGTGTTAACAGTGTTCCCTCCTGCATTACCAACATTCCCGCAGCAGCAGTTCATCATTGCCAGAGGACTGTAACTACGTATACTTCTAAGGCTCCATTTTGTTCATTATGGTATATATATTGATATCAAAAAAGATCTTTTATGTGAATGATTCAATGAAATATAACGGAGACCCCTCCCAAAAAAGTGCAGATCAGCTCAGGCATTCCATCCAGGAGAGGGCACTGGTGCAGAAAGGATTAAGTGCATTGTTTTAACACTTAAAATACAGACGTCAACCTGAAACTTGTCTTTACAGCAGCGTTCACAAAACTACAGAGTGAGTAAAACACAAGTTTGACATCTGCTGGCTGCAAACACATGTAAAGGATGTGACTGTGTTGGGTAGAAACCACATAAACGATAAGAGATCATTTTCAAGGAAGCATATGCTGTATTTTTAGCAACGTAGAAGTTCAACATTATGACAAGTATATGGTAACTATCTTTGAGTACTTATCACTTTTCCTGCCACGAGATTCTGGGACTGTTACGAAAAGTGCTTGATATGAACACACCCAGCTTGTTCCAAGATTTCAGTTTGAGCAGGAATTGCAATTTCAGTGTTTACTTTGGAAAGTCACTCAGAAAGACAGCATTCAACAAGCTGCTGAGCCACTCTACTGGCCTGCCATACAAAGGGCAGTTCTGCTCCCATTTCCCTTCTCCTCCTTCCCTTGCCCCTACTTCTCTACTTTTACAGGTTGTGCTCACATGATTGTACCCTTCCCTTGGGCCAGCTCTGACAGCCGAGAACTAATCTTTTGCACTGAACTGTTCTTCTGCCAATTCAGTGTCAATTGGCTCACTCTGACCAGATATGTTTGAGAGCTGGTACTAGGGATGCAGCAGGAACATTGGAATAAAGCAGGAAGGAGGGAGCAGGAGTTTTTGGCAGCAGTGCGTTGTTGAGTGGCACAGATCATTTCACTGACCTTTACCTAGAGTTTGCAGGCTGTATTTTGAAGAGTCTCTTTGAATCAACATCACTGCTACACACTGGTTTAACATCTAAATATCAAAAATTGCCAACTTATCCCTATATCCATACTGATGAAAAGGGAAAAAAGAGTTATTCGGTAACTACAATTCTATTAAAAAAAAAAAATTGAACTGCAAGGGAGAAAGTTAGACACATGATGTTACTTTTGTAGACTACAGTTCAGTTTGGCAATCAGTGTGTGGAAAACCTTGTATGAAACAGTCAACTACAGGCACTTTGATGAAACAACTTGAACAGGCAAGTCCTTTAAAATGATACCTTATGACACTGTACCCACGAGGTTGTTAGGAGCCCATATTCCATTTTGACTTACACATGAGCAGCCACACTCAAAGCCGTGATACGCTTTTGAAAAGCTAACTTGAATCTTTCAAATTTCATTCAAATAAATTTCTGAAGAAATTTGTTCTAACCATGCTCACCATTTCTCTAAGGAAGTAGTCATAATTCTAATGCTGTGTGCTTATTTAGAGTAACTTCTAATAGAATACATTATACAAGACAGTATAGATTATACAAGACAGTATACATAGAAGATTCAAAGCTACTTACCACAATGTGTTGATAGGGATCTATGACAGACATTTTTGCCTTAATTTGTATTCAAGACAACTGTCAAATATCTATTTCAATTCTACACAGAAGAGGCTTCCCAGTTCTTCAGAGTTGAGTATGACAGATCCTTAACTATTAAAAAAAGAAAAAAATGTAATTAAAATTTTTATATTCTTTTAAACTATATTTTTTAACAGAGCAAATTAGTTCCTCCACTTTAGGAAGGTTCCTACAATTCATTTGTTTACCATGAACTTAATTTCACACAAGCTATGGAGGTAGAGATATTTACTTGCCTGAACTAGAGAAATTTCTTGTGCTTATTTCCTCTACCTCAGAGTAAGAGCACAAACCAAATATCTTGAATTCCAGTCATCCAAGTGTTTCTAGCAGCTCTACAAATAAACAAAAAGAATAGCACAATTATATTTATCCATTACATACATTCAAATGTATCTGCTTCCATGCATTACAGTGCTAGTAAAAAAACCAACCAAACAAACAAAAAAAACCAAAACAAAAAACAGTGTTTAGTTAATAGCCTTTTTACTGTAGTAACAAATTCTTGGTTCCCATGCTTTGCTTCTATATTAAGATGCTCATATGGTCAGGACAGGACAGAGATGAAGTTTCTCTTTGTATCCTCCTTTCAAGGATATGTCCTGTACTCACACCAAGGGACATGAATTTTAGAACTGAAAAGCCAGTTGGAGAGCACAAGCACAATAGTCAGCAACTTGCACCAGACAACTGCAACCTTTCGTAGTAAAGATCTGTTTAGCCATTTAAACGCAGCTGTTCATACCACCTTCACTTTGAAAGCTTTTTCTACAAACAGCAAATTCCCAAAGTCACACCTAACTGCGCCTAAGAAAATAACAGGCAACAAATTCCAGCATCTAATCTGCAGCAATAGCACAGAACTTAGCAGCTGCTCATTTAACTATAAACGAGCAGCAATAGTGCCCTCTGTAAACCTGGGAATTCCAACTAAAGCTGTGTACAGCCTCCCCAGCCACCCCAGTTGTCTAGAGATTCACAAGAGGCTTTGATGGGCAAACTGCAAACCAGCTGCCAGGATTTAAACAGGTTCTTCATAGGCCACTGTTTTCTGAACACTTTGTGAAGATTTCTACTGAAATCAGGGGCCACCAGAGGCCTTAAACTTCAGAACTGTTTCCAATCATCAAAGTAAAATACACTAACAGAGGTTATTCCTTTCTGCATCTCTAAAAAAACAGGGAAACTGCTGGACAGGATCAGTTCTTAGATTCAGCTGGACCATGGCCAGACCCGAACCATCAGCAGAAGCTTCAGAGTGAAAAGAAAAAAAAACACCACATGGGGTTTGGTCTCAAGGAAATGATTCCTAACCCTCAATTTTGAAAGGGCAGAATAAACCCTAAGGAATGATCATTTATGTTACTCCCAATACCCTTGCTCTTGAGCAATTATATGCAGGCATTTCCATAAAAATTTTGTTTCGTTATGATCACTGGAACATTACGATATCCCTTCTTAAATCCTGTCAGCCCTAACAATAGCTTGAGGCTAGAAATTACCCTGGGTTTATTTATTTGGTTTTATCTAAGGAAGTCTGAATAAGAAAGACTTTAACATACATTCAGTTCATAGTTTTCATTCAAGGCAGCTCAATACTAGGACAACAGGAACAAGACATCTTTATCATAGAAAGCAGGCAGCCTTTCAGACTTAAAGGAAGATCTCTAACACATATCCACCATTATTTCTCCTACTGCAATAATAATTGCAAAGACTTATTTTTATTAACATTCTATCAGCCAAATTCAGCTGTGGTGTAAACAGGCAGATGGGAGGGAAGTAACATGTGTTTATAGACGTAACTGTATAGCTGGTTTGTTACATTCAAGTTCATTTTACCTTGGGTCCTACTTAAAGTAGGAGAACCTTGGTAAACATCCCTGACCTATCAGTTTTCGAGGAACTGTTGCAAACTTCAAAGGCAATCAAGAAAAGGCAACAGTGAGGGTTATCCAAACACTGTAATGAAGAGGAAATTTGTAAGTCATAAAACAGAAAATACACCATTTCCTCTAACTGCACAGTCAACTACCAACAAGTTACCATGCTCATTTTAAGATGATACACGAAACCAAGCTGAGGATACTGCTCTATCTGCAGAAATAAGAAAATAGGTCAGGCCTAGGATAAGAAGCCTGGTTCGAGTTATTTGTCTAGCATCCTAGAGGCAGAGTTCCAGTTCTCCAGATCACCACTCATCTGGTCGACTGGCTTAGACATGAGATCATTCTCTCCTTTCCTATAACCCCCCACCTTCATCTATTTCAACATCTGCAGGGAATACATTTGCGATCCTGCAAACAACAGCCTCTTTGGCTACAGAGCCGTAATGAATCCCCAAGCACCATCTGTCCTCCATGTTGAATGAGGCAAGGATCATGCAGACAAATATGCAATCATATAATTAACAATTGTATCACAAACACACATGCACAAACTACAAGCTAAAGACATACAGGCAGAGTCTCTGAATAGGGAGAAAAGGGCCAGGGAGCAAGAAGACCCTGATGTGATACACAAAGCCTAAAATCCTGGTTTTCTACACAGCTCCAACCAACAGCATGACAGATCCCAGCCTAGTCATGCTGCTGTTTCTCCAAATTGGAGCACTTGGTTTGGTGTCTTAATCACAGTCTTTCAGTATATGATAAACAGAAGCAGGTACCCAAAGACAGGCATCCAGCGCTATTTATTTCAGACATGTGAGTGTACCTGGGGCTGGCAGATGGACGGGTATCCAATGCTCTGCCAGAAGCCAGCACGACATCTGAAGTGGTAGCAGACATATGTGTTTAAGTGACTTGAATACTTATGTCATTTACAGTGGATTTAATTCAAATCAGTGTTACCTGACCCTAGCATAATTACACCACACCCTCTGCAAGCCTGCACTACATTATCAATGGAGTTTGGGTTAAGCACGCTAATGTATTTCTGTATCTGAAGTCTTAGTGCAGCAGAGGAGCCAAAATACAGCACAAACAGAAGCTCATGAAGACCCGCAAAGAAAGTCTTGAAAAATATTTACTTCAAACATCTGCAGTAAATAGAGCTGTGATCCCAGAATTATCTCACTTAACACTGCCACTATACACTGTCCATCCCACAAAGCCTAATGGAAAAATCATCAACTAATTAAGGACTGTATCACAAGCACGTACAAAGAACTGAACTCAAGCTGAAGCTGGTGGCAGGCCAACCCTTGATAAGATTGCAGGAGAAGTAGTGCCTCTAAGCAGATCTTCAAGGACACTTTAATATTATTAACACGTATTGTTTTGTTTGCCTGATATCTGGTGGTATCGCATTGTCTGTGAACTGTGCCGTTCCCAGGGCTGATAGCATTCCTTCCTAAAGGACTATCAAAGCATGTCGCAGGCAGTGCCTCTGCAACACCACGAGCATAAATTCTGTCAATTCATACAGAACCACCAAAATTAACTAAACCAGCAAGACTGATTAATGATATATTTCTTAATGTTTTATTGACAAATGTCCAAGTCTACAAATTGTCCAAGTTTACAAAATACCAGAGCAAACATAGCCTCTTGAACAGGCCACAGTTTAGCTTGGTCACATAATACAGAAGACAGCTTTCTACTAAATTCCTAAATCTCACTTTCACCCAAAAGTCAACACTACTTTTGTCAGGCCAAGAGCATTTAATTGTCAGGCACAGTTTCAGACATCAAAAGTAACAAGCTATTAGTTGATCGGTGGATTGCTGTTTAAATCAAGACTCTTGCGTGATCTTAGCTCATTTTCACTTGTGGTGACAGACTGAAATGTGTAAGGGATTACTGTCTCTAAAGTCAGACACTACCAGAGCAATTCCACAAAAAGAAGTTACACACACATGCATGGACAGCGATTATTACTGGAACATTTTCATTCTCAGTGTTGATCCAGTAAACTCCTACGGATAATTCAGTTTTACAGGATATATCGAGGACAAAAGAAAAGAATAATGAGATGTTCCTATTTCATGCTGAGTATAAGCTTACTCCACAGTTAGTCTTACTGAGCGGAAAAGCTCTGAAAATGAGTAAAGCATAACACAGTATAAATATCACCACCAGAATACGTCCCCAAGATTGTAAGAAAAATCATAAAAGGGAGATTGTTTATATCAAGCTGGACAGTTCTTACAAATCAAGGACACAGACAATTAAAAAAGTGAATAAGTGCGACTCACTGGTACAGTCATTAATGCTTAATCTAATGTGATAAGAGTAAGAGGTACAGAATAAGCTAAATATTGACTCAGGCTTTTGGTATGAATGTCACCATCCATTTTTATCAAATCAGATTACAGAATTTTATTTGGTTACAGATTGATCCTGTGATTGTATAACAGAAATAATAAATAATCTGTTTCTACATGATTTTGCCTAGCATCCTGGAAAATCACAGTAATGTTATTTCTTAATTTAGGCCTTCCCACACAACAAACAAGGTTTACGCCTTACTTTGTGTAGAGCACCCATCACTCCATTTTCAACAAAAATGAAAAAGTATATGCTTCGCTGACGTGCACTGACTGTTCTTCCCATGCCTTGCCAGGAGAGCATGGGTGGAAGGAAGGAGTCTGAGCAGAAAGGCAAAAAGCTCAACCTTTGTGCCACATTTTTGGAGGATGCTCTGGGGTGAAGTTTGGCAAGGAAGTTGACACAGCATAAACAGCTAGACAGGAGATTTTAAGATTGGGAAACCACATCTGACTTCCTGCTAAAGAGGACGTAACAGATGAAAAGATCATGAATCTCTTTTTGAAAGATGACCTGTCAGCCTGTAACCAATTACTGAACTACAGGTGACACAGAGTAACTAAGATTTCCTTTCAATGGCAGGAGAGTACTATAAAATACCCTAGCAGGGCTGAAACTCTGGAAACATCACAGAAATCTTGAGCAAGGTGTCCTGGTTTCAGCTGGGATAGAGTTAATTGTCTTCCTGGTAGCTGGTACGGTGCTATGTTTTTGAGTTAGGTATGAGAAGAATGTTGATAACACTGATCTTTTCAGTTGTTGCTAAGTACTGTTCTGTCTGAAGTCAAGGATTTTCCAGCTTCTCATGCCCAGCCAGCAAGAAAGCTGGAGGGGCACAAGAAGTTGGCACAGGATGGAGCCAGGGCAGCTGACCCAAACTAGCCAACGGGGTATTCCATACCATGTGATGTCCCATCTAGTGTACAAACTGGGGGGAGTAGGGGCAGGGTGATTGCCGCTCAGGGACTAATTGGGTGTTGATCAGCAGGTAGTGAGCAATTGCACTGTGCATTATTTGTATATTCCAATCCTATTATTATTATTATTGTTGTCATTTTATTAGT